TGTGTGTGTGTGTGTGTGTGTGTGTGTGTGTGTGTGTGTGTAGAAAGACAGAGGGTGGGCGGGGAGAGAGAACCTGCATGTAGACTGAAAGAAAGGAGCCAGACACTTAGAATAATCATCAAAGCATATCTTAGGGAACTCATATCCTCAAGCTTTTTAATTGCGTCTATATTTTTGGTTGTGAGCCCAGCCTTTAACCGCTGAGCCATCTCTCCAGCCCCTAAAGCCAGACTCTCCACTGCTTCTACTTTGGCGAAACCCATATCCTACCTTTTGTGACCCATGTTTCCCCCGAGACAGGGTTTCTCTGTGTAGCTTTTGGAGCCTATCCTTGAACTCACTCCGTAGACCAGGCTGCCTCTGCTTCCTGAGTGCTGGGATTAAAGGTGTGTTCCACCACCGCCTAGCTTGTGACCCGTTTCTAAGGTCCCCTCTTCCAGGATGCTGTTTGCCATCCCTACTACATCCTACTTCCTCCTATGTGCCACACCCCTCCCCATGACACCTTCTCCTAACCACTAACACAGGAATCCACGGGTGATTCTAGAGCTGGGTGGCTAGAGATCCCATTCCTCTCAGGAAGTGTTCTTCCCAAGGACATCTGCAGTGACTTCTTTGGTGCCGTGCCGCTGAGTCTGGCATTGAGCAACACCTGAAATGTGTTTCCTGGAGTTCTCCTTACTGAACGAACCAAGAAGGAAGTGGCACTAAGTAGCTGTTGCTTGTGGTTCCCTCTTCTGCCCAGCCGGGAGCCACAGATGCCCGCCTCTCCACAAGCATGGAGTGCAGTGCAGATGGTTCACCAGGACCCCAGCTCCACCGCAGGCTACCTGACAAAGACAACGTGCAGAAAGCAAGCTTCACTTTGACTTCACGTGAAGCGTCAGTTAGGGCCGTTGAAGGCGGGGTGGCGGGGGTGAGGCAGCTGGTGGCATTGCATCCACTACAGTCAGCAAAAGGGACAGCAATGAATGCTGGACGCTCAGCTCGCTTTCCTCCTTTTTATTTTTCTCCCAGACCTCAACCTATGGTATGGTCCCACCTACAATTACCATAGGTCTCCCACTGTGGTGGTTTGAGTGAGCATAACCCCCATAGGCTCATGTATTTGAATGCTTGGTCCACAGTTGGTGAAACTGTGAAGGATGAGGAGGTAGAGCCTTGTTGGGGGGGGGGGGCGTTGGCCATGCCATTCCTAGTTAGCTTTCTCTTTCTCTGCCTCATGCTTGTGAGTCAGATGTAAGCGCCCAGCTACTGCTCCAGTGCTGTGCCTGCCTGCCTGCCGCCTGCCGCCTGCCGCCTGCTGCCTGCCGCCACGCTTCCTACCATGGTGGTCATTGTCTTAGTTAGGGTTATTATTAATGTGATGAAACACCATGACCATGCTGAGGGAGGTCCCATAGATGTTCTTGTGGTGATAATGCAGTACTGGGGCACTTGGTGGACCCCATGTAGCAAAATACTTCAACTTCTAATAATTATTTTAGCAGGTACAAATTACTTACATTTACATGTAATACTTCAGTTGAAGGCGGACCATCGGCTCTGAGTTCTTGAAATGCCATTTTGATCATTTATATCATTTCATAGGAATGCAAAGAAATGTTGAGCCAGCACAGACCATCTGATCCTAAAATTATAGTCTACAGGAAATACTGACATCATCACAGCCCTTACTTAGTGCCCTTGATGCAGGGAAGCCCTAGAAGAGCTGGTTGGGATCATAGCCCACGATCATAAGGAACACCAATTAGTATTGGAAATGAAAACAGAAGAAAAAACCGTTCTGGGGTGGGGGGCTGGAAGGTGCTAAATGACAGAAAACATGAAATCTGTGAGATGTTTGGAACATGGTTCCTGATGGAGTGGCCCACCTGTGGTAGACCCCATGTCATCTTTTGGGGGCTAATGCTTTGCCAAGCCAGTCTTTGTGCTTAGAGGCTCTGCTCACTCATCAGTAGAGCCCAAGTACACAAGGTTTTCCCCTCTGTACTTGCAGATGCCAAAGAGGGCCAAGAAATCTAAAAACACCAGATTCTCCAGGCATGCGATATGGATTACCCAGGGTCCGGGGAATACGCTACGTCTGGCGTAGGATATCTGAGGGGAAAAAAAAAAAATCTATGTACACTCTGCTCCTATGTCTGTTAACTTTATTCCTCTATGACAAAATTCTATCGATTCAGCTACAGCTCCGTCAGGCATTCAGGGCAGGAATAAATCTAGATACATCAAGCTCCTTGTCTGTCTACTTTATTTCTCTGGGATGAAATCCTGTCTCCATAGCTTCAGCTCCATCCTGACACTCAGTTCCTCTTTGTCCCCTCGTTTACTGCCCCCTCATAGTCCTGCTAACCATTAAGCTCTTCTGCTTCCAGCCTCATCTTCGTCCTCGTCCTCTGTTTCTTCACCCTCCATCTCTACTTGCTCTCTGCTCCTGGCTCCGATGAACTCTACAAGAGTTCTGCCTTACCGTCTACAAAACCTCTGTATTCTTCTCTTCTCCCTCACCATGCCATTCTGTCTCTCTCTATGGAAAAAGCGCATTCCTTCATCCCCTGCCACTCAGTTCTCTGCCTCCTCGGGAATGTTGCTCCACCTTCCACCTTGATATGTAAAAACCTCTTTTGTTCTCAGTCAATTGCTCTGGAGAGCCACAAGGCCTCAAGGCAAGGGGATGGTCTGAGCACAAGAAGCAAAGCTATGCATCTCCAGGCAGCTTGTCTTTGCCTATGTTACCTTATCCAAGTTCTGGCTGGGAAGTTCACACACACACATTCTATGGGAATTGTGAGCACAAGCAATTCATAACAAGGCACAGCTGAATATTAAGCTGTGTAACACCAAATAGTCCATGCTAGATGGCTTGCCACTTGACTGACCCTTGGCCTGGTCAAGGTGTAGCTTTAATATACAGCTGGATCTCTATAATATATTCTTGTGGCTTGCCACGATGCCTGGCTCATTTAAAAAGTCTTTGGGGCCGGGCGGTGGTGGCGCACGCCTTTAATCCCAGCACTCGGGAGGCAGAGGCAGGCGGATCTTTGTGAGTTCGAGGCCAGCCTGGGCTACCAAGTGAGTTCCAGGAAAGGCGCAAAGCTACACAGAGAAACCCTGTCTCGAAAAACCAAAAAAAAAAAAAAAAAAAAAAAAAAAAAAGTCTTTGGGGAGCCTCGGACCTTAGTGGGGAACACAGCTAAGGCGTCCTGATACGACCTTGTTTGACCGATGTCACCTTGATGTGCTGGATGAATTAAGAATGAGGTCTTTGTCCCTGTATCCACAGATAGGTCACTCCAGGCAGCAGTTAAGTGTTGACAAGTGTGGGTGAGTAGGAGAGGTTGGAGGCGGGTGAGGGAGGGTAGTTCTTGATAAATCTTGGTTGCTGCCAAGAGGAAGCAGTCCTGAGGTTGCCATCCTTGGGGATGTCACCAGCCGCGGAGGGCGAAGCTGATATTAGAGCGCAGCTCTGGACGACCCACGCTGGATGGCAGCCACCGACCCGTATCAGCATTTCCCAGAACCACTCTGAAGTGGACAGTGGAAGACGTGAGCGGATTGCCTCACAGCTGACATCAGCACACAGCCTTGGTCTCTCTCGAAGTGTGGGAGAAAAGCTCCACGAACCAGCCGAGCCCTGTCACACAGTCTTGATTTGGTAAATAACCCAGGTCGATGACAGGAAGAGCAAGCGATGTGACAGACAGAGGAGAAAAGGCTTCCTTCCTTTTCCTGGTCCATGAGAAGGGAAACAAAATAAAGGGGAATTCAGGGAATAAGCAGAGGGGATACAAAGAAGAAGAGGCACCCAGAACACAGATTGTGAGGGGCCAAACCACTGGGTTAGCAGACCCCCAATGGAGAGGCCCACCTGATGTAGACTCCATGCCATCTCTTTAGGGCTAATGCTTTGCCAAGCTAGTCTTTGCATTTAGAGGCTTGGCTCACCGAACAGTAAAACCACAGTGCACTAGAACTTCCACTGTGCAGATGCCAAAGAGGCCTAAGACATCACAGAGCCTAGTGTAAGTGTGAGCTAGTGTTACCACAGCTCACAGTGAGCCATGAGGGAGAGACATTCCCATGCTGGTTTAGGATTCCATGGCAACTTGTGGGCTG